TAAAACGAACAAAGTTGTAGGTCATCTCCATGTCATTCAGTAAAGATTTAGAATAGTCTCATAACAATTACAAATCAAATTGGGGAGAGCATAACCATGGATATTTATTTAGAAAAATAATAGAATTTCGCTACAAATTACACAGGACCACAAAAAAAATAAATGAACTGTTCTTTTGACCAACCACGTATTTGATATGTTTTTGCTCCATCATTTCAGGATTTCTTGCTTACCTCAAAAATCCTGCCGGATTTTATGTGACAGAAAAAATTTTATAAATATTGACAGATTTGTTTTAATCTTCGTATCCAGGGGTTCTCGGGGTCCCTGATTGTGAATATGAAGTCAGCTTTTTTAATTATTGATTTTTTATAAAACTTGGTACCCAGAAGCTTTCGGGTCGCTGATTACGAACACAAATTCAAAATGGCGAAGCCTATGTGGTGGTCATATCAAGAAAAATAATTCTTATAAATTTTCGTATGTGTATCCGTTTTGAGGTTGCCGCTTACGTATCTGAAATTAAAATCCAACAATTATTTGAAAAAATGCGCTGACTTTAAATTCGTAAAAAAATCGATGATTTTCGTTTTTTTTTTTAATTCGACCGCCATTTCGGATTTTGAAAATCTGGCTTCTTATTCTAAAATCTAGCCTACATAGTTTTGCCAAAACACCAGCTTTAGCCAAGAAGTATATCGTCGCCTTATAGCGTTAACTTGCTAACTAACTGCAAATACATTTTACAGGGCAGAAAAATATTCTTTATTTGATTGGTTAGCAAGTAAACTCAACATACGTACACTACCGGCAAAAAGTGTTGGCCCAGATAATTTTTTTCAATATATTTTAATGTTTTTCCGATAATTTTTTTATAAAATTATGGGTCATGCTACAACAAAAAACATAATTACTAACTTTTTGCCAAACTCTAGAAAATTCAATAAATTTTCGTGCAAATTTTCAACTTTGTAATCCGATTTTTGAAGGTTTTTGAGTGTGCCCAATAAATTTTATTATAATAAGCTGCAAGTTTGAAGTAGCTAGGACTTACCTTTAATTTTTGGCAATTTTTTCACTCAGTTTCTTCCATACAAAAAAATTGTTTGGAAAATCTTTGTTTGGAAAAAATGCAAAACACCTTCAATAAAAAAAAAAACTAACTTCAAACATTCATTTTTTATACTAGAAAATTAAAAAAAAATCTGATTAAAAAGTTGAGAATTTGCAAGAAAATTTATTGAATTTTCGCGAGTTTTGCACAAAGTTTAGGAATTACATTTTTATGTTCTTTTGTTGTAGAATGAAAATTTTTTTTTTTTAATTTATAAAAAATTTACGGAAAAGTATTAGAATAAAAATATATTGCATATATTGGGAAAAATTCGCCGTGTTAATACTTTTTTGCGGCAGTGTATGCAAAAATAAATTTAATACAGCTGCTTATGTTTTTAGCATCATAGCTAGCGGGTTACTTTCCAAGCAACAAATAAAAAAATTGGTATTTTTTTTTCTGTCCTTTGAAATTTCTTTGGAGCTAGTCTAGTTCGCATTGTTACACTCTTAAGGTTGAGGACACGCAATGAGCGGCAAAGCCGCTGAGCGGCGCCATATAAAAATGCCGACCTTAGGCGACGACCTTAATGTATGTATGTACCTGTAACTCAAATTCAGGTATTTCCCCTACTTCTTTTAGCAAAGCGCAGCCTCCTTTTTTGGCTTGCTCACCTATTTTTCACACTGTTTCCGTAGCTTATCCTCTAGCACACGTCCTGTGTACCTGTAAATGCGCAGAGGATTTTCTTTGTTATGCACACACACTCGTACGTTCATGTGAATAGAGTAGTACATATTTATGTAAAATATAATATTAATACAGCAACGAATTTCGTTAGTAGATTTGCTGACGTTTACGGTTTCCGCAGATGAATGTGCTTCTTTTCAAACATGCACGTGTGTGCATATGTATGTACATACGTATGTATATAGCCATGTGCTGCTTTTCATTTTATCTACAGATTTCACCACATTTCACTTTAAATGTCAACAAAGCGCTAATCATTTTACGCTCCTATGTTTGTACATCTACATATGTACATAAGTTAGTACGTAGGTACTAAATTTCGAAATAAACGCTAGGTACCCATTCCACCCTCGCCAGCGCAACGCTGTTTTATAATGTGCTGACATATTCATTTCCGCACTGCTGACTAAGTTCTAATTCCTTGCATTTGTTATTTAACTCCATTCCATCGGTGTAGAACTTCTGTGGTTTATCGGCGAAAAACTTGATCAAGTGATTTTCATGTACCGAAACAAATGGAAGGCAGACAATGAAAGGTCCCGCCTATATGGCGCATGCATTAAAACTTCCCAACCAAGTTCCGTCAATTAGTTCCGAGTCATCAACGATGTCCGCGATCCATCTTGGATCCTTCATTGTATAGAGAGATAGCCAGTGTAACCGCAGTATCTGGCCGCCTCATCGCACGCTTTTATTGTTCATACTACTCCGCCATAAATAATACATTTGGAGGAGTATGATGAGAGATTTTATAAAGAATGGATTTGCCTACTCACTCAAGAGTCGCACCTACTGGCAAGAGTGATAGTCTAATGACGATATGTGAATTTGAGCGAACCATTCACATGTTTCCTCCTCGTTGGTTAAAAATTTTAGTTATAGTTTGAAAATATTTTGAATAGAGTTGCCACCTGTTTAGAAAGACGTCTTTAATTTTTCTTGTAATGTGAAATATTAAATTATAGGTGTCAAACAAAAGAGCATCAAGAAATCTTAAGTCTGAACATTTATAATACGCATTTTAAGCCGTTTGGGACGATTGCCACCTGTTTAAAAACTAAATTAAATTTATGCTGTTTAATAATAATAAGTTTAACGATTTATGAAAATATGGGTACCGTTAAAAATGGTTTAGAAAAGGGTTTATTTCCAATTTACATGTGAGAGGGTTGCCAACTGTTCAAAAATTATCAAGTTTAATTTGAATTGAAGGAACTAGGTATGTAATTGAAATATCTATCACAATATGGGAGTCAGACGAAAGAGATTTAAGAATCGTTTAGTTTGTAAATATTTTGAAGAGTTAAAAAGNCTGTTCAAAAATTATCAAGTTTAATTTGAATTGAAGGAACTAGGTATGTACATAATTGAAATATCTATCACAATATGGGAGTCAGACGAAAGAGATTTAAGAATCGTTTAGTTTGTAAATATTTTGAAGAGTTAAAAAAGCAAAAAGTGAAAACCTGCTAAGCTTTTTTTAGCTGGAGCCTAACTAAGTAAGTTGACTTTTATTGAAACAAATTTACACCTAATGTAACCCACAGGAATTTCAAGCATTCAACAAAGCGAATGAGAGCATATTAGTGTTTGAATAAAGATTATTGAAGTATTGCATCAAATAATTTTTTTTTTTTTAGAAAATGAAAAACGCTCTGATTAATTGTACCAATATTCACGAATTTACACCAAGTTATACGCCAGCGTCTACTTGAGCATTTATTTTAAGCAAGGNACCTAATGTAACCCACAGGAATTTCAAGCATTCAACAAAGCGAATGAGAGTATATTAGTGTTTGAATAAATATTATTGAAGTATTGCATCAAATCATTTTTTTTTTTAGAAAATGAAAAGCGCTCTGATTAATTGTACCAAAATTCACGAATTTACACCAAGTTATACGCCAGCGTCTACTTGAGCATTTATTTTAAGCAAGATAGTTGCTTACCCGAAACTATAGTAGTCATTTTTAATTGCTATTTTTGGGCTAGCAAACCTTTTTGTGTTTATCACGAAATCGACTAGCCAAATTTCAAATACTTTTTTTTTGATAACTTTATTTCTGTTGCATGTTTTTAGTCAATTTCGTAATTCCGTATGCTCATTTGGTTACCTACAAACACTATAAATGTTTCACCCAAAAAACCAGATGCATGTCAATCACATCTATACGTGTGCATTAGGGTGGTCCAAAAATGCATGTGAGAAAGTGAAGTCGGAATTTCGGAATTTGAATGCTGTAACCCTTGGGATTGTTCTATTTCGAAAAAAATTATGCCCCTGTTTTTTTATTTATTTTTTTATTTTAATCAAACAATTTTTAAAGGTCGCTCAAAGCGGTCAAAGTTTTCCATGTATTTTATATGGGGAAAACAAGTTTTCGTAGAAATGTTATAGAACTCTTGAAAATCAAAATTTTTCGAACGGAAAACTTTGTTTCTTTTCAGTAGACTGCCGCTAATAATACCAAAATGTTTATTATACTATCTTTTAATACTAGCGTTTTTTATGGGCCCCATTGTATTTAGGTTTTGGGGGTCTTATAAAAAAAATAGTTAATAATAGAAATTGGTTAAATGAGCAATTGAATATTGTTACCGGAGGTCTCCTGAAGAGAAACAAATTTTTCCGATCGAAAAATATAGATTTTCCATAATTATATGCCATCTTTACGAAAACTAATTTTTTTCCATATAAAATACATGGAAACTTTGTGTGCTTTGAACGACCTCTAAATATTTTTGGATTTCAAAATAAAAAAGGAGCATTAAAATTCCGACTTTAATTCTTTTTGGAAATCCCTATTGTACATACATACATACATACATACATATATAAGCTTGTAGGTATTACGTTAGATTCATTGTGCATTTCAAATGTGTATGCTTTTGTACCACACACACACAGCCACGTCATACATACATATGTATATGAGACATATTAATTTTAAACACAAGTCTAAAAATTAAAACCGCATTTCAATTTAATCAAATATGCAAATCAAAAATATTAACTTATCTTTTTTATACACATTTTTCTCTCTTTTTTATTTCCAAAAAAATTAAACACTTATTACAAAAATAAAATAAAAAACACAATGCTGCTGCCCACAACCGCATTCACATCGACGACGAATCCTCATCACACAATCCGTCAACCGCTGCGCCACGTTTTTGTGGCCTTCACTTTACGCAGCAGGCAGCAAGTGTTCAACATCAATCTGCCCTGCACCGTCGAGAATAAGGAGAACACACGGCCGTTTGTGATACGCGAGAGCAGCAGCGACAGCGATGAGGGTGACGGGCGCATACTCTATCGCGACGATGAGAATGACCGACAAGCGAAAATTGCGCGCAAGGAGTCACTATCGCTGAAGTTGCAATTGCGACCCGATAAGCAGGATTTAATCAATCGCAATATTCTGCATCAGGTTACCGATAATGAGTTGAAGGAGTCAAAGGAGGCCATTGGCGCACGACTCATACGTCGACTGTCGATGCGGCCCACAGCTGAAGAGCTGGTGGAGCGCAATATATTAAAGAGTAAGTATTGCAGCGAAACAAATAATTCCTCCCATGTTGTACGCTACTGCATTATTTCTGCCACAATATATGTATATAACATTGGCTTAATTGTATGAATTTATATAATTATCGCTTATTTCTTATTGGTTCAGCCCAATCACCCGCCGAAGAGAAGAAACAAAAGGAGGAGAAGAAATCTTATTTGCTGCGAAAATTGAGTTTCCGACCCACCGTCGAGGAGCTGAAAGAGAAGAAAATTATACGTTTCAACGATTATATTGAGGTGACACAGGCGCACGACTACGATCGGCGTGCGGACAAGCCATGGACAAGACTGACGCCGAAAGATAAGGCTGCCATACGTAAGGAATTAAATGAATTCAAATCGTCGGAAATGGCAGTGCACGAGGGTAGTCGGCATTTGACAAGGTAAGTTGAAATTATTTGCACATTGGATTTACCTACATCGTAATTTACATATCGTTGCCATAAATACAAAAGGCACTAATTTTCGAAATAAAAAATTGCTATCATGTCGAAAGAGGGACCGAGAACAGAGGAACTATTAAAGAGGTCAAGAAAACTGTCTTTCAACTCACAACAGTCTTTCGAAAGAGAAAATTCTTTCGTAAAGCAATTGTTAATTGTGGCAACTATCTGTAAAGCTCTTTTATAAAGGCTAATTCAATAATTTGCTAACGGGGAGGTCTGAGATTTTCTAAAAGTTAAAATCAATAACACAAATTAAATTTCCTTTTTAAACAATAAGAACTACAAATTAAAGAAAGCAAATAATTAAATGAAAAAAGAAAACTTAATAAAATAAGTTTATGGAAATTAATAATAATAATAATATATTGGATGTTAGTGTTAGGCCGAGCTTCTGCTCGGATTTGTGGCGTGGCTCTCGATCTTGTCACAAAAAGTGGGAGGGACACAGATACATTTTTATGCCGACTCCGAACGGCAGAAATACACTCGGAGGTTTGCCATTTCCTGCCGAGGGGCGACCGCTATTACAGAAAAACTTTTTGTTTGTTTTTTTTGCTGTTAAGTTGAACCGGGATTGAATTCAGGCCCAGCGGAAAGCTAGCGCCCACTGTGGTGTAATGGCCACAGCGGCCGCCGATATTACATGCAATAAAAAAATGAATTTTAAAATAAAATTCAACAATTTAAAAATTATTAAAATAAATAAAAAAAATCCCCAAAATTAAATTAAAAAGCATTTATATTTTTTAACAAGAAAATCTAAAATTCTAGTCTTGTTATCTTCATTCTAGAAGTGTCTGGGCGGAACTTTTAAGGAGCCACGCCCATGTCTTGGGGCGCTATGAAATCCCAAATTTTATATGGAATTTGAGAATTTTTCGGAAACAACAATTTTTTTCCCATGCGCATTTTCTTGCATATAAAAATAGGTTTTGATCATACGTTATATGTAAGAAAATGCACAACACCCTCCGCAAAAAAAACATCTAAAAAATCAACGGTAATTTTTAGCGACTTGAAGATTGCACCTTGTTATACCAAAATTTAATGGGCTACAAAACTGCGCTCTCGAAAATTTTCTAGAAATTCTGTATAAAAATTTGGAAATTTTGATGAAAATTTTTTGAATCTTTCTGAAATTTATATAGAGTGTGAAACTTTGATTTATATGGTTTATATTATAGAATGAACCATATTTTTCACCGACTTCAAAAAAAGGAGGAGGTTATCAATTCGTCGGAATATATATGTAGATATATATTTTTTTATATATGTTAGCATAACTTTGGACTGTTTAACCGATTTTTTTTAAAGGAAAGCTGGGGCCTCAGTGGTCGCCCCGATCATTGGATCATGAAAAAATTAACTATCGTTAATTAAGTTTTAAATAAAAATTGAAGTCGATTTTGTTTTTTGCTTGTCATAAATACACTGGATGTTTATGCAGAAAACGAAGCGTCAAAATATGTACGCCATAACTATAGACAAAATGTATACAAATTTATTTATTTTGCTTATAGTTAAGTGCTAAATATTTTTCGGCTTCATTTTCTGCATAAAAATCCGCCGTCAAATCATAAATAATTAATGCAAAAAATTGTTCATGTAAATAATTGTGAATATTATATTAGAACAAGGTGTATATTGCTCACAGTATTTACATCTCCATTTCGAACACGCTCAAGTGCTTTCGTCAAAAGAGCTTTTCACCATGAAAGTTTTTCTTTCAAAATATCTTTTCTTCTATCTTTCAATTGTTTTATAAAACACTTAAAACTATCTTAACCAGAATTGCCCAGGGAAAGCGTATCGGTGCTCTCAGCGCTCAAGCGATGCTATTACTAACCAACCGTCCATCCTATGGTAGAACTGACTGCAGAGTCGAAGTCAGATCCGCTATGGCTATGTTACAGGACGAGAATGGAGTTTTTAAGAGTTGCAGCTTGGGAAATGCATATATACTGTGTTTAACATTTTTGGAGTATGAGGATAGTACAGAGCAACTTTATAATACGTGTACCGCATCGCTGCACAAAACAAACTATTCAGATTCCTACAAGAGTCTTGACATTTTGCAGAAGAACAATGACTCCCCACATCCACCTTTTTCTGGATTTTCCCGGCGTAAACCTGTTCATTCCGATCAGCTTTTTATTTGCTAGTAGAAGCTACTCATTTGGTAACTATCTCACTTTAAGGTGACATTTTTCATTTCTACTGTCATGTGCGGCATTCTAACTGATTCAGCGTAGAATAATTGACATGCGATTCTAAAAGTTGTGTAATCTGTTCTTACGCTTCTTAGTAAATTAGGGTTTCGTAATTTTAGGAATTCCCATTGCTTTTTTTTCAATATTTAATTCCTCTTTCCTGTAGTCTGCAAAGAATTTAATTTCTTTTAAATTGAAAATTGTTCGCATTTTATACTCGCATATGCTGCCACTACCACAGCCAATGATTCAGCTTATGTAATACCCAGTAGTGTAGTGAGCTTTCGCTGTCAATTGGCTTAATTAAAAAGTCATTTGGGCATTACTTTTGCCAACAAAATACCACTAAAACCACTGCCACAGGTCGAACTTAAATTGCCAACTATTAAGGACGAGCAGAGATGCAATGCGGATACATATGTGAGCCAAAAGTATGGGAACAATACAGATTTACTTTGACATACGAACATATGTATGTATGTAAGAACAATGAAAGACGACCGAAACAATACAACAGCGGACTGTACATACATATGTGTGTATATATGTATGTATGTGCATTAGACCGTATCACCTTACAAGCAATTAAAATAAGTTAATTGTAAAAACAAATATTTTTGAATCAAGCTTTTTAAATATGAACGACATCGGACCATAAATACTGGTTTACCAGACTCGAGCGCCACCTAATGGCTAAATTTTTAGTATGTTCATTTCATATTTTCATGTAGTTAATATACGTTCTAAATATGAACCAAATCGGATATAAATACGGGATTTCCAAATATCTCGACTCCTGTGCCACCTATCAAGTCTTCATATCCGATTGTAAATGCCGAAGATATGACAAAAAATAAAAAAACAAGATCCCTAAGTTCGGATCGAAAAAAAATCGATATTGCCTTGCACAAATACTTTAGACTCAGGAGTGTATGGCGAACTTTTTTCGGTATACTCTAATGAACATACATACATACAGTGACTCAAACAAATGACCACGTGTTGATTTTCTTCAAATATTCGTAATGTTTTCCCAGCTAATTTTTTTTTTTTTATAAAACTATTGTTCAAGCTTTAACGAAAACCGTGTAAATCTCAGTTTCAAACTCAATACAAAATTCAAAAAATTTTCAATTTTTTATTCTGAATTTTTAGAAAATTTTTGGGTATGCAGTTTTTTAGCCCATATAGTTTTAGTCTAATGAAGTCCAAGTTTCAAACGGCTAAAAAATCGCGTTGATTTTTGAGAATTTTTTTATTGTGGGATTTTTGTATTTTTTACCTCGCTTATATTAGCTCGGTATGTAACTATGTAATATTGATGCGCCTAAAAGAAGCAGCGTTTTCCATTCTCAAATTACATACCTGATGACAGTGCGAATGGGAATTGCTTTAAATTTCAATTCTTAAAGTAGCCTGATGATAGTGCGAATGGAAGTTTTAATAGCGAGGTTGTAGTTTTTTAAACTATATATTATATTTTCATATAAGTATAAATTTCTTATGAAATAAAATGCGAGAGACCGTCAGCAACAAAATTTCAAAATATCAACGCAAGTTTTTGTAAATTGCGCTTGTTATATTAAAAAACCCGAAAATTTGGCGAAATTTCCTAAATTTTGTATAAATTTTAAATCTGTGATTTACAGGGTTTTGGTTAAAGCTTAGAAGATATTTTTAATGAATATAACAAAAAAAATTTAGCTGGAAAAATATTACGAGTATTTAAAAAAAAACAACACGTGGTCATCTGTTTGAGTCACTGTATAAATATGTAGTCACATAAGTGTCAGTTTATGTGTGAAATGGACAATGTGAAGAAATACGATTGTTGTAATGATGCAATTTAGTGTTGTAGAAGAGAAGCATACATATGTATGTTCTGTATGCTTGTATGTATGTACATATATATGTGTATAGTATTTACTTCTGTCTGTTGTATAAGGATGTGAAAATCTTGCTGCGATATGGGTGAAGTGAGAAGATTGTAAATAAGTGTCCTTTACGAAAAAGTTTAATTTCAATGCCACTTCCTGTCACACAATGCCACTGTCGAGGGGCACATTCGTTGCCAGCCAGCACACGCCCGCAAATCCATTCAAGCTCACGTATCTACATACATGTCACAGCTTTCGAGTTGCGATGCACATACATACACACATGCAAGTTGTGCAATAAAATGCAAGGCGACAGAAAATAAAGAAATTAGAAGTGAACATTTATTGTATTCGAATGTGACTTGAATGGGCGTATTAAATAAATGGTGTATGGGTGAGAGGATTGCGAATGCATAAAATGCACCACTATGTGTTCAATAAATTTTCGTAAAAATGGTATGCATTGGAAATATTTGTTCTTGGACAATAATTTAGCTTTGCAATCAACTTTTGAGAACATTGATGCTAGCAATGTTTACTAAATATAACTTTGTTGTGGTTTTTATGGTTTCGGCTCGACTTTTGCTCTTCGTTGCATTCCATGAAAGTAGAATCAGAATTTGCACGTTGAAGCGTGTCCAAATTGACTTTTTCACTTGCTGTCTTTGAAGAAAATTCAGTTAAATAGCATGAAAAACTATCGAGATCGTCTGATTTGGTTGGCTACTCTAAACCGACTTGTCGGCAGATGGCGCGCCAGCTTGGTAAGAACAGAACAGATATTGTTGTATTTACAAAAAAAAAAACAATTAGCCAGGCGTTTTTCAGAATTGTACCACGGCATATCTGG